GATTAATACAAAGATTTATACAAAGATTAATACAAAGATTTATACAAAGATTAATACAAAGATTTATACAAAGATTAATACAAAGATTTAGACAAAAATTGTCATCAATCTTTCTGAAAATTTCAAATTTCAAGATTTTCAGCTATTTGAAAGATTTGTCGCTTTTCTATTTAGTGAAAGGATTAATTGAAAGAAAAAGGGAAAAGAAAAAAGAATTGAGAAGAAAAAGCACCTGTTTTCAAGAAGAATCAAGAAGAATCTATAAAAACGTCATAACAAATCAAAAATTTCTAAAAACTGAATATCTAAATTGATTGATGATCAAAATTCGAATGGTGATTTAGAAATTTTCAAGAAAAGGAGGGTACTTTTGAATCTTTGACTTTGAAGAAGTTAATACACAATGATTTTTATGACACAATGATTTATACATTGATCTTTAACTTACTTCAGCATTAAATATTGGCAGATTTTATTCTAAGTTTGAAAAAATGAATGAATATAAATCTAATAGAGCCATTTATAGTATTTCTTGGGTAGATAGAAAAGAAATTCTCAAGAAAAGCATTTATCGATGGGAGGATTTATCTTATTTTCGTCTAATAATCAGTACGATTAAAGTCATTGAAAATCAAATATTTGATCTCAATCAAGTAAGTGAATCAAAACAAGAGAAAAAGAAGAAGAAGTCAATAAGGGTAAAAAGTGGTTAGTCAAGCGGTATGAAAAGCTGAAAAGCAACAAGTTTTGCTGGAGGGAAAGAGTGGAGAGATGGAAAGGATGAGGAAGAGAAGGGGAAGAGGAAGGGGAAGAGAGGGGGAAGAGAAGGGGAAGAGAAGGGGAAGAGAAGGGGAAGAGAAGGGGAAGATGAGGGGATGCTTGAGTGGAGATATGCGGCTGGGGCCCTAGGCAAAAAGACTTGATCGGTTCAAAAGCAAAAGAGAAAGAGACACGATTTTTATCTCCATTGACGAGGAAAAATGGTGAAAAGACAAAAGTTTTCCTTTTTTTAAGCTCAATTATCTTAATCACTATCAAGTTTTTTTTCAATGAATATTTCTGAGTTTCTGGTTATGTCTATGTCGATGAATACTGAATAGTTATGTCTTAATCTATAAATTCTAGTATTTTTTTCTAGAAATCAAGATCTAAACAGTGTCTATATTCTCCAAAGTAATAATTAGATCTTAATTAGCTCTTTCTCTCTACATATTTAGATGAAAAACTTTCAATTCCATTTTATTGGGTTGGTGAATTGAAAACTGCGGGACTTTGAACTAAAATTTATTCAACATAAAACCATCAATTCATTCCAAATAATTTCCAAATTTATTATTGACGACTTCTGCCCATTTTACAGGCAGTTTGCGGATTCCTTTTTCTTCGTAGGATTTTGGTTTGTGTGTGAGACAAGTGTGAGACTCAAAAATGGAGGACTGGAGATGTCCCAATTGGAGCACTTTCTTCAAAAGAAACCCATTTTGGTCTCAATAGAAAAGTTGTAGAGAATCAAAAATTAGGCTTATAGCCAAATTTCCAAAAAGATACACTTAGTAGCTTTGCTTAAAATGCAACTTTTGCGAAAATTCGTAAATTTCGCATTTCTTGAAAACCAATTTTTGAATCGTTCTGAAAATTTGGATATAAGCTTGATTTTTGATTCTCTACAACTTTTCCATTGACACCAAAATGGGTTTCTTTTGAAGAAAGTGCTCAAACTGTCACAGATGACAATAGCCCGCAGTTTTCAATTCACCAACCCAATATATTGACTATTTTAACGATCATTTGATGCAGAATGAAATTACCCATCGAATGACACCAAAAACAACTTAAAATATAATATTCATGTAAAATGAAATATTGGTCAAAATATGGCTGAAAAAATGCCCGTACAGTAAGGCAGACAGAAAGACAGACAGAAAGACAGACAGATACTGTAATCCCCTCCCGTCCCCGCCCCCTCCTTTTCCGCCATTTCATTTGTGAAAATTCGTAAATTTCGCATTTCTTGAAAACCAATTTTTGAATCGTTCTGAAAATTTGGATATAAGCTTGATTTTTGATTCTCTACAACTTTTCCATTGACACCAAAATGGGTTTCTTTTGAAGAAAGTCCTCAAACTGTCACATATGACAATAGCCCGCAGTTTTCAATTCACCAGCCCAATAATACATTTAGTTTGAAGTTTTAAGTTTAACCATCTTTGATTTTCTATAAGAAAATCCTTCGTGAAATATTTGAAAATGTAAAGAATGAAATAGAAAGATCAAAGAAGCCTATGCAACTCAAAAAAAGTTTAGTAAAGATAGGAAGGATAAGGACAAGAAAGTGGATAACGGCTGAGTTGAGAGAGCCCGACTCTTTCAACCTCAATTAGGCCTTTTCCAGTGAGTCTTTTTTTTTGATTTTGGCCATGTTTTGAGAGAAAACACACACAAAAAAGCCAACACAAAGACAAGATGGGCTTCCTTTGAACAAATTTTCGCCCTTTGATAGGATTTTGAAAGGAAAAGGGAAGGCATTTGGGGAAAAAAAACGAGATCGACGACGAATTTGAAAAGAAATATTTGATTCTTGATGCTAAATTTAGAGAATAAGAAAGCGATAAAAGCTGAAAGTAGGTAAAAGTTGAGCATTGAAGTCTTGTAAAGAGTTTTAGCTAATGAATTTGTTCAAAGTCAACCTGATTTTACCGAATCTATCTAAAAGTTTAGACTAATTGAAATGAAAGTTTCAGCTTTTCTATTTAGCTTGGTTTTCTATTGGAATGACGGCGATTCAAGGACTGATATTGGACTAGAGTGTGCTCCTTGTTGACAGACAATTTGTCAGACAAATTTTCATTGACAACTTTTTTGTCAGACAATTGATCCGACAAAACTTCCGACAACGCGTTTTCTAAAAGGTGCGCTTTTTAAGCAAAGCTATAAAGGTCGCGCGAAAAAAATTTGCAAACTTTTCTTAAAATATAGTAATGGATAGTTTTATTTAAGGATTTAGGTTTTTTAGGGCGTCGAATTTTTTTTTAGAATGGTTCTAGTGCAAATGTAGACAATAGGCCTGGTAAATTGGTAAATAATATAATTTTTTAATAGTGTTTCTTAACTTTTCCCGTTTTAAATGTTTTCTTTAATTTTACATAGCATTTAAAAATTTTTAAATTTTAGCGAAAGAGTAATAGAAAAAAAGAGCGCAAGATTTTAATGTACATTTGCATTCTGAAAAATTTGCTGATGCAAAGCATAGGGTTACGGTAGCTTATCCTTGGCGCCCGCTTTTTAGAAAACGCGTTTTCTGCAAGGAACACACTCTATATTGGACTGATATTGGACTGATTCGATATCTGGGCTCAATGGAACCTAATGTAAAGAAATATTCTTTGCGTGCTTGATACTCTTCACTCAAGACACGTTATTTCTTGTTTCGAGATATCTGATCTCACTTGAACTAAAAAACGCTTTATTCAAGAGCCGATTGACTCGGAATATTTGGGCTCTCACTTGAGCAACTTTCACACAAGATCGACAATTGAATTAAAAGTGACGATAAAAACAGAAACAATTTCGTCCTAATTAGGACACAACTTTCAACACGATGAGAGGAAAGCAGTAAAAAATGAAAGATAATGAAAAACAAAATGAACAACAATTGCGTTATATAGGCTTTAACACAAGATACTCAGCTAACAAGCTACAAAACAATAAATGATTTGGGGCGCGAAATAGAATGAAGCCGATTTCCTCAATATTTTTCCAATTTTTAGGCTGCCAGAGTTAGGTAACTTTTTAGTGGCTATTCGCCACACCTAATAGATTTCGGAATTTATCTAAAAGTTTACCAATTGAGAGTTCCAATTGGTAGACTCAATAAAATGAATAGCTCTAATCGATTCGCCGACCTTGAGAACTCCCGGGGCTTCATAGCTGAATATCTTTTTGTAACATCAACAAAGGAAAAGAGAAATCTTGTAAATGACTGGCGAGGTGTTCTTTGTTTGATCGCGTAATCTAAGTTATAGCCGTCTGGCACAAGTTCCCGATAGATAGCTGTTCCCGGGCTCGAACAGATTAGCAAAGATTCCAATCGACCTGACTCTGCCGATTGGGGTGCTTTTGATATCGTTGGAATCACCTCATCGAATTCCATAAAACCAACAGAATTTGACGGTTTTCTTGCCGCTTTTAAGAAGTCTCTTGGTGAGTTGATGCGCTTGGCTCGACAGTACTGTCAACCTTAAGGGTTGGCCGTACTGTCGAGCCAAGCGCAGAACTTTGTTGAGTTAAACCAACCCACGCGTTCATCGCATAGAAGTATCGGTTTGAAAAATGTGATGACAATTTGATGTTGTTCTAAAGGAGAACTCGCTTTAGGATTGTGATACTTTTTAGAGGTTTTAAAAGCGGTCGGATTGAAGTTTTACAAACAATTCTTTCCTATTCTTTCCTATTCTTTCCTATTCTTTCCAAATCTCACTTTCTTCAATTTTCAAATCGATTTCTAAATTCAGAGCGAATCGTTTAGATCAGTGCCCTTTCCCGATTGCTTTTTTCACTCTTTTCTCCACATGGTTTTGTTTTGTTTATTTGAGCGAATCGTTTTGGGGAATTCGTTTATAAAAGAGAGATAGCACTCAATAAATTTCACACACATATTTTATATCAATTGTTCATTTTTAAATTTTCTTTCAACAGTATCATTTGGGCATTTTGATAAAAACGAATTTGATAAACATCTTCAACATTGAAGATATTTATCAAATTCGTTTTTTTTAAGAAACTAGAAGGAAAAAGTATTTTAAAACCAGTCTGGACCTGACTCTGAATAGCGAACCTGTCCCAGACCGAACTTGGCGTTGATCTAGTCTATAGAATTTTTTGATATCTTTACTTAAACTTTGAAAGTTGAAAGATGAAGAGTTTTAGCGGGTATAATTTTTCTGAAAAAGTGACAAATGGTGGCTCGATTGATCGTTTTCACCGTTTTCGTTGTTTCATCGATGGGAGCACTTGAAACGATCAAATTTCGGGATTGCAGTGAGTTTTGGAAGAAAAGAAGAGAGGGAAAGGATAAAGTGTTCTGGTGGAGAAAGAGTTTACACCATTTCATTTTCGAAAACTACTGTAACCTTAGCTCGAGTTTTTATCGATCTTCTGCTGATCCTTTTTCTGCTGATAATCAACCCAATCGAAAACAATTCTTAATCCAAAACTGATTTTAATCCAAAACTTTGATTTTAATCCAAAATAGAATAAAACTTTTCCAGAATCCACATTCAAAGTCGATCGAGTGGCTGTTGATGGAGCACGGGTGGTTGGTTTTTCGTTGAGAACAAATCAACAACTCCTATCGATCACTTTCCCTGTTATCAAACAAATCTTGCTTTAATTTAAACTTCAATATATTTTGATTTTGATTAGCAAGAAGATAGCAAGATAAGCTTAGCCGGGTGTTTTCAAATTTCCTTCAAAAACCACAAGATCAAGAGCATTTGAGGATTCGAAAGACGGGAAACAGATCCTCATTTTCAAGGCCGACTCAAACCCGAAAATGCAGATCACATTCACGCCAAGTGAGTGGAAAATGATCTTTGCTTAATTTATAACTTATTACTTGAATGTTTTAGGCTTAAATTATGCAATTCTAGATCCAATTCTAGATGTAATTCTAGATCCAATTCTAGATCCAATTCTAGATCCAATTCTAGATGTAATTCTAGATCCAATTCTAGATCCAATTCTAGATCCAATTCTAGATGCCGATGTTTCGTCGGAGATGGGCACTGCGGTGAACGCGAAAATGGACACCGGTTTGTTCAAATGGAGTCTACCCGATGCGAACGCGTGTAGTGTATGTGTTTTTTGCATTGGAAATAAAAAGGAAAAGGATTTCGGACACTTTGCCTTTAAGAATATTTGAATATTCTTGGCCTTTAGCGAACTTGAAACATGCTTAGTCTTTCAATGCTTACATAACCTTTTAGCATTCCTGTAACTTGTTGATCATTGAACTTTTCAAGGATTCAAGCAACACTTGTTTCTTAAAACAATTGTTTCTTAAAGAAATTTCAGTTTATGACATGCCCATTGAAGAACGGCGTTTCGACGACATATGAACAGAGTTTTCATCTCAAAGCTGAGTATCCAAAGGTGGGAAGAGTCTTGACAGTTGTCTTGACAGTCTTGACAGTCTTGACAGTTGTCTTGACAGTCTTGACAGTCTTGACAGTCTTGACAGTCTTGACAGTCTTGACAGTTGTCTTGACAGTCTTGACAGTCTTGACATTGCAAAAGAATATTTTCCCCTTAAAATAGATAAAAATAAACAAAAAGCTTTAGTTTTGATAGAGAAAGTTTGGTTAAAAGCTCAAACGAATCAGAATTTTCAGGATCAAACGATCCAAGTGAATTGGGTGATTCAAAAAGCCGGCGGTGACACGAAAGAAGTGTGCGTCGTTTTCCTCGCTCAAATTCATGCCTGAATATCCTTTTGCATACAAATTTTCATGAAATCATGCTTTAATAAATGAAATATGTTTGATATTCAGTGTACAATGAGCTAAGAAACGGGGGTATTCATCACTAGATTTGAAGCAAAAATCACGTGATCACTTCGGACTTTGAGCAGTGTTTGCCAGTGAATAACTGAATAAATGAATCTGCAAGTGAATAACTGAATATTCTATCCTTTATGACTCTTATCAATGCATAGTTAGAAGCAATAAATCGACTCAGAAGCACATAAATATCGCATAGTTAGCGAGGGGAAAGATAACAGAAGAAGAATTCAGTTCAACGCTGGAAATGAAGATTTTTTTCCTATTGATTGCTTTGTTTTCTATTGGAATCACGGCTTTTCATTCGATTCACTTCAAGAATTGCAGTGAGTGAAGATATTCGACTTATTCGATAGAACCTGGGCCCAATAGAATCTAATAAGTTCAACGTTAAATGCGCAGTAGCAATAAAAAATTTCAAAACTTTTAACAGACCGATTAAGCCCGAGTTCCAGTTGGTAGACTCAATAAAATGAATAGCTCTAATCGATTCGCCGACCCTGAAAACCCCTAGATACAAATTCACAGCTGAATATCTTTTTGTATCATCAACAAAGCAATAGAGAAATCCTTGTAAATGACTGGCGAGGTGTTCTTTGTAATCGCTCGTTGGCTGGCACACCCTCAAGAAAAATAAGTCAAGGGGAAGGGGAGATTTATCTGATTGCGTTACTATGCCCCCAAATTCCCTAGGATCATGCCTCTAGGAGTTGCCTTTGTTTATCACGAAATGTAATTTTGCAAGATGCAAGTTGTATTTAGTTAGCAAAATAGCTGTAGGATTTTTAAATGGTTTTATCGTATTTCTTCGAATAGAAGACCGGGTAAAGAGTATCATCGCGTACTCCTGCGTAGCAGCCCTTTTTAAAATTCCTTTTTTTGCATAAAAGCTTTCAATCAAGTGCTATAGAGCTGGAAAATGACTCAAAAAGACCACATGAGCTAACAGATTTTTAAGCCATTTTCCAGCTCTATAGCACTTGATTGAAAGCTTTTATGCAGAAAAGAAATTTCAAAAAGGGCTGCTACGCAGGAGTACGCGATGATACTCTTTACCTGGTCTTCTATTCGAAGAAATACGGTAAATGGTTTGAAATGGTTTTGAAAATTCTGAAATGCAACGAATTTAGAGTCGAATTTCAAGGTGATCTCTTTGGAAATCGCTGGCGCTGAGATGGTAATTTGAAGTATTTTCTACTTTAGAACAGATTACTTTAAGCCGCCAGTTATTAAAGTGTTATTTGTCTACAGTATTCCAGTAAATTCTTTTAAAGATCGAAGAAAACGGTCACCACATCACTCTCCTCAAAAAGGGAACTCATCCAAAAATTCGGATCCGATTTGAGCCAGGTGTGAAGAAAGCATGAAAATCTAAAATGAATTCTTTAATTTACAAAAACTTATTATTAATATGCAAGTTTTAGACGTGAACTTGTCAAATTTGAAAACGGAAGTGAACGCGAAAATGGACGGAGCGCTTTTGAGATGGAATATGCCTGAGACAAATGCTTGCAAAGTTTGTCTTACTTTTAGAAAAAGAGATTCATTTAGCTAGCTTTATATGTTAGATATTTAAAATATAGATTGAAAGAGTAATTATCAATTTTTAGTTCATGGATTGCCCACTTGTTGAAGGAGAGGAAACCGTTTATGAGCAGAGCATTCAAATCAAGAGTGAATATCCAACGGTAATCAACATTAATCAACGATTTTCTTTATTCTTAAATGTGTCATCTACTGTAACCGTTTTAGCTACCGTAATCTTGTCTCTATTAATTGAAAACTAGCAGATTACGGTAGCTTTCAAAAGTTTTTAGATTTTAGAAAAGGAAGAAGGAGATTTTGAAATAAACTAGAGTACAAATGCTCTTAAAAGGAGAAGGCAGGCGAAGCTTTTATAAGGCTTAAGCTTAAGCTGATGCTTAGGGTTAAGCTGATGCTTAGGCTTAAGCTGATGCTTGGGCTTAAGCTGATGCTTAGGCTTAAGCTGATGTCAGTTAAGCTGATGTCATCAGTTACTCGATGGCTGATTGGTACATTTCTAAGTTACAAAATGAACAAGCTGGGTTTGATCCCAGCACTCGAATCAGCTTAATCATTGGGTATGATGAAGCAAGTTCAAAACAAAACCCAGAACTCCATCACTTCTTGTTCTTTTTTTTCCAATATTGATAGGATTATTGTAAGCCGATAGTCATTAAACTGTAAATAAACTTGTAAGTTTATAGAAATATTTTCAGGGTTTTATATTCAATGAAATTCAATGAAAAAAATATAAGCGAGTTCTCGTTGTCGTTGTCGTTGTCGTTGTCGTTGTCGTTGTCGTTGTCGTTGTCGTTGTCGTTGTCGTTGTCGTTGTCGTTGTCGTTGTCGTTGTCGTTGTCGTTGTCGAGCGAATTTGTCGTTTAACTTTGAGCTCACTTTGGAAATAGTTGAAAATTTGTGAAATTTCTAACTTTTTCTGGGTTTCTGGGTTACTCGAAGTGATCATGATCATGCAACGTTTTCAGGGTAAAACGATTCAAGTGAATTGGGTGATCGACGGTGACCGACAGGACATCCATCACGATATTTGCATCATTTTCCTCGCTCGAATTCAACATTGAAATGAAATTGCTATCGAAAAAACAATTCACCAAAAATTTCTTTCTTTTCGAAAATTCTTTCCCTTTTTCTATCTAAAAATAAATGTTTAACTTCCTCATAAATCCTTTCTTTGAATGTTCTAAAATTGTCTAAAGTTTGAAAGACAAAAAAATGTGTAGGAACACTTTTGGGAAGAACTTTCCTTAACTCTCTTCATTTTCTCAAAACCACTTTCCCATACACTCTTCAAAACGGAGGAAATCTCTACCCGATTTCAACAAAAACTAGAGTAAGGCTTTACCAGCAACGCCTGAATAGTAGATTGGATGAATTAGAATCAACTCCACAAACGAAAGTCAAAATCAACTCCACAATCGATTCTATTGAATCAACTGGATACTTAAAGTCAACTGGATACGCTCTGGATCAACTGGATACGCTCTGGATTAACTGGATACGCTCTGGATCAACTGGATACGCTCTGGATCAACTGGATACGCTCTGGATCAACTGGATACGCTCTGGATCAACTGGATACGCTCTGGATTAACTGGATACGCTCTGGATCAACTGGATACGCTCTGGATCAACTGGATACGCTCTGGATCAACTGGATACGCTCTGGATTAACTGGATACGCTCTGGATCAACTGGATACGCTCTGGATCAACTGGATACGCTCTGGATCAACTGGATACGCTCTGGATCAACTGGATACGCTCTGGATCAACTGGATACGCTCTGGATCAACTGGATACGCTCTGGATCAACTGGATACGCTCTGGATCAACTGGATACGCTCTGGATCAACTGGATACGCTCTGGATCAACTGGATACGCTCTGGATCAACTGGATACGCTCTGGATCAACTGGATACGCTCTGGAAACAACTGGATACTTCAAGTTCATGATCTTAAATCTTAAAAAAAAGATCTTAAAGCTTTCGGAGATCTTGAATGTCTTGAAAAAGCTTGAAAAATATTTCAAATCGTTTCTTTTATGTTGCTAACTTTCAATTGAATATTATTGAATAGGAAAGTAGTGTATAATGTTGTTTATCAACTGTACGTACTATCTGTATCTGTACTGTACTGTACGTATCCAAATGAAATTACTGTATAATATTTCTAGTAAAGTTTGATCTTTATATAACTCCTAGATTTGGGCGATTTGGATACCGGTGAAGACAAAGACACAAGTGAGAGCCTAATATGTAACATAATACTGTAAAGCCTAATATTGCATTAATTGATGATACTAAAGCGTACCAGTGAACGATAACAGCTTGAATATTTCTTGAGATTAACAATCACTATGAGATATCAACTCAAGAAGCATTGTCTGCCTTTAAGTGTTTAGTTCTTTAAATTTAAAAAGATTGAAACATTCCATTATCCAATTTCTTCAGAATTCGATTTCCAGTGAATTCTGATTTCGAGAACTGTCATAAAAACATCGTTAAAATCGTCAGATCGTTAAATTTTTTTCCATAAACTCTTTTCCAAATTGATGCTAGTCTTTAAGTAAATTTTTCTGAAAAAGGAAGATTCTGTAACATTCTAGAAGTGATTGTGAAGAAGAAGAAGAAGAAGAAGAAGAAGAAGAAGAAGAAGAAGAAGAAGAAGAAGAAGAAGAAGAAGAAGAAGAAGAAGAAGAAGAAGAAGAAGAAGAAAAGAATTCGAGTGGATGTTGTCAACGAGAGGAAATTCCCAGGCTTTCCCCCGCCCGCGCAACTCGAAATCGGGGGAAGCGTCAGAATTTCTACACCACACCCACTGGAAAAGTTTTTGAAATTTTAAGTACCAGTCATATAGCATATAGCTTGACAATAGAAATCCATTTTATGGTAGAGCAAAAAGGTGAAAACAGTCTGACGTCAGATCTGGGACTATGACGGGAAATTTAAAAGTCAATGCTAACCAAGCCAAGCTAAGAGGTTGTTTTGGCTTCTGTTCTTCTGTCCAGTTCTGTTCTTCTGCCCAATTCTGTTCAGCTGTTATTTCTACCCTAAGATCGACTTCTATTTGATTTCAAATCAGAAAAAAAAAATATATAAAAGTATATAGAATAGTTTTCTGTATCAGACTTTTAGCTGTCCAAATCTAGTGAGCTCAAATCCTGAAAGTTAAGATTAAAGTTTGTGATCTGATATACGTTCGTTTTATGGTAGAGAAATAGGTAGAGTAGAAGAATTGATTGATAAAAAAATCTGGTAATAGATCTATTCAGAATACAGAATACAGAAGAATCCCAAGATGTCATGCCAGACTTTGAACTCTAAAGTATTAGGCTCCAGGCTTTTCATTCCGTACATCCGTTTAAAACCAATAAATGCATCAATTAAACTCTGGTTTGTTTCATTAAAAAGGCCAAAAAGGCCAATTATTGTTCTGCAAAATCACATTAAAACGGGTTTCAAATAGAGTGTTTTCCTTGAGTGAGTAAGTAATTACTCGAGTAAAATCTGCATCTACTCGATTAATCGACGTTTTTGTTCGAGAGTAACTACGAGTAATCCTCTTTACACGTCGAGTAAATTGAATATCTTTACTTGTGAAGGGAATTTGCCACCAAATCAGTTAAACGACTGAATATCTTTAAAAAGAGTCGTATATAAGTCGTCGCTCGTGATTTTTTTCGCGAGAGACATTACTCGAAACATTACTCGAAACATTACTCGAAACATTACTCGAAACATTACTCGAAACATTACTCGAAACATTACTCGAAACATTACTCGAAACATTACTCGAAACATTACTCGAAACATTACTCGAGACATTACTCGAGACATTACTCGAGACATTACTCGAGACATTACTCGAGACATTACTCGAGACATTACTCGAGACATTACTCGAGACATTACTCGAGTGGAACACACTCTAGACTTATATGATTAGATTTTTCAAAGGTTGAAAAGTAAAACTGAAAAACAAAAACAAATTTGGACTAGATATTGGCTTATCAGCCTGTCTTGATCCATCTTTCTTTCCATATTTCTCAATATACTTTATTTCATTCGAAAGCTCTTGAGATCCTCTATTTTTTGAGCTATAGATTATCTTAATGCGATAGATTTGAATAGAGTGTTTTCCTCGGGAGTAAGTATTTACTCGAGTAAAATTTGCCTGAGTAACTTTTACTCGATTAATCGACATTTTTGATCGAGAGTAACTACGAATAATCCTCTTTACACGTCGAGTAAATTGAATATCTTTACTTGTGAAGGGGAATTTGCCACCAAATCAGTTAAACGGCTGAATATCTTTAAAAAGAGTCGTATATAAGATTTTTTGTGCCAATTTTTTGCAATAATTTTCGCTAAAAGTACGGTAAAGTACGGTAATTTTTCCTAAGTGTGCGTTCTAAAAAAAGCGCATTACTCGTGAGGAAAACACGCTAGTTTCAAATGTTTTATGTTTGAACTTTTTTGAGAGGGTGAAGTCGAGTAGTCAAAAATGGTAGCTTGATGATGCAGTTTAGGTGGTACCTTTAGGTGCTGTGGGAGATCGTTTCAAAGAGGCCACAAAAATGAATCTTTCTCTATTGGTTCTTGGAAATGTAATCTTAGCTCTTGTTGATGGAAAGAGTAAACATATTCCATACAGAGACTCAAAGCTCACTCGATTGTTACAGGTAAACAATTGAATATAAATTTGGCCATAAAATTCCTGATGATGCCAGTTTAGCGTTAGGGAAATCGATATTCTTATAGCTAAAAGCTAAAAGCTATCAATAGCTAAAAGATAGAGCATAAAAAATTGCGTATATAGTTAAATTTTCAGAGAACCACTTTTAGCCATTCAGCCAATTTCTTTGTAGAGAATTTCTGAACCCCGAAAACCCGAAAACTCTCGAGTTTACAATGTAAGTAAACCGAAATTGACTTAAAAAAGATGGGAAACTTAACAATAAACAGTAAAAGATGTAGAATAACTTGTGAATGTACAAGATTTCGAAGTATACAGTCGATTTATGCACATCTTCTCTTAGCAACCCTATCAACCCTGTCATTTCCCGTCACATCATCTCTATTTTTCTCTGTTAATGCTATTTTTGTTCTCTTTTTTATGAAATAATTAAGAATTTCTTCTCTTCTTCTTTTCTTCTTTTCTTTTCCCTTCTCGCATTTGAAATGAAAGCACCGCCCCATCCTTGAGATGTCTCACGATTTCCCCTCCAATCTTGAAACCACTTTTCTCCTGCTCGTTCTCCTCTCCGAGTGGCCCCCCTTTTCCCTAACATCATCCCCATCAACTCAAGCAAAGGTACGGTAGATTTATTTTTTCTTTAAACTTAGCAATATTTTTAGGAGACTGGATTAGAGTTAGATATGCTAACTTAGACTTTAACTATTGGGTTGGTGGAAAAGTTCTTTCCGATTTTTTGGGAGAGTACCTTAAATTTGTCGAATTTTGACGTTTCCAATGTCCAATTTTGACGCTCATCCTAAAGCTGAATTCAAGATGGATCGATTGATAAAAACCGTTTTGAGATATCTCTTTTCTAAAAGTTTTTACAGCTATTTTAGTAAAGGGCGGCAGAGCCAAAAAATCGCTGTTTTCACGTTTCGTTAGTTTTCCGTGCAGAAATCTAGGCTAAAAACATGTGTTTCGTGATCAGCGTCAAAAATAACCCCTAGACACGCATTTCTGCATTTTTTTTCTGTACGGAAAACTAACGAAACGTGAAAACAGCGATTTTTTGGCTCTGCCGCCCTTTACTAAAATAGCTGTAAAAACTTTTAGAAAAGAGATATCTCAAAACGGTTTTTACCAATCGATCCGTCTTGAATTCAGCTTTAGGATGAGCTATAAAATGTCAAAATTGGACAAATTTAAGGTACTCTCCCAAAAAATCGGAAAGAACTTTTCCACCAACCCAATACTTAACTAAAATTGACGACTAACAAAAACAAACAAAAACTACCGAAAAATACTTAATGTAGGTTATTTAGAGAGACAAGGATTACGATAAGATTACGATAAGATTATGAAAAGATTACGGTAAATGGGAAACAGTTTAGTCGCGAGAAGTCAAATGAAACTTATGAACTCTTTAGTAAGGTTCTAGATTATCTTACCTTTTATCTACAATCTAGCCCAGTTCTAGATTGTAGATTGCAAGAATTGTAAAAAGTTATGACCTGCAGTAATCTTATCGAATCTTTGTGTTTTGGGAATTCAACCATTTCCCCCGCAAGTTGCCATTTGTGGAAGTGGATTCTTTTCCTCAATTTCCCATTCATTCAATTGGTCCCAAGTGGGAACGGCTATTTTTTAGAGATCTCAAAATATCTCGCAATTTTTGACCTTCTTTTTCTTAGATTTTTTTGAGTTCCATTCATCAAAAAGCTTTGAAATAAAAGCTTTGAAATTTAAACCTCAAAAACTACGCAATCATAATAAAAGTTTAGCCACAAGGGGATTTCTTTATATTTAAATTTTACTTGAAAAGTTCTTGAGTAGAATTATTTTTTGAAAGCTGTATAGTGATTGTCATCGAGTGCTTTGAGCTTAACCTAAACCCGCCCTGTATAGTGATTGTCATCTAGTATAGTGATTGTCATCTAGTGCATCGAATTTGTCAAGTTTTCCTTGCCAATCGAGTACACTAGCAAGGATGTGTTTACAAGGCAGATAGTGAGCAAAGAGTTTTCTAACAAATCTCCGCTCACAATCTGAGCGCAAGTAAACGACTCGTTTGGCTCTATTTTCACTAAGCCATTTGAAATTTGTGAAAATTTCCTCTAACTAGGCCTTGTTTTTCCCCTTTTTTTTCCTTTTCCATTCACTAATTCCTTCCCATCTTTGATTGAATTCGATAGATGAGCCAAGAACGAAGGGTTTGAGTGGAGAAAAACACGGCCGAATTCCTAATCTTAATTATTTTCCATCAGTCGGTGCTAAAAAAAATCGCGCATTTCCATCTTAAGTAGGTGATGAAAGAGGGAGGAAAAGGGCAAAATAAAAATGGATATCCGATTGACGTTTTGACGAAAATGCGATTCTTTTGGGCGAAACGTTCATGCTTAGAAATATAGGATGTCCCAAAAAAAACTCCATTTCGGGTCAAATTTTAGAAATACAGTACTGGACAATGAAATATGATATTTGAAAAACGATCGTCACTTTCGCGCGTCTGTAACTCCCTTGTCTTTGAGTTTAAACTATTAGTGTTATACATTTTCTGGAAGCTCTTTTCAAGGGCTACACGATGGTAATATTAATATTTAGAAATACGGTAAAGACAAGGGAGTTATAGACGCGCGAAAGTGACGATCTTTTTTCAAATATCATATTTCATTGTCCAGTAGTGTATTTCCGGTGGCTCAAGGTAGTAGGAGTGGGAAAATGATTTTTTTGAGGTCGGGAAATCTTGCTGTTTTTTCATTTTCACGATATCATGCTCCTTTATGCAAGAAATTTCTGAGTTACCATGATCACCACCATCAGACTTTTCCCATAAAATTAAAACTAAACTGGCATTGTGGTGCATAATAAACACTATTAGGATAACTACAAATTTTAACCATTTTATTGAGCCAAACACTATTTTATTTTAGTCAAACACTTTATTGATCAGCGTTTCGTTTGGAAAAACGGGGCACTTTCTTTTAAAAAAGGCCATCTGAAAATCTCTTATATATGACAGATTATCATATAATGTGGGAGTGGGACAAATGCTACCTTTTTTTTGCGCACCTGGACATTTGCGCACCTTTTTTTCCGCACCATTAGCGCACTTTTTTTCGCTTTTTAAAAAAGCTCTAAAAGCTAATATTAACCAATTTCTATTCCAAAAGTCGTTTTTCTAGGTAATTTGAGGGCGTATAATCGAAATTTTGGCATATCAGAGCTTGTGGAAACAAACGGCGGAGTTATACAAAGAGAAAAATCAACAATTCTCTGTAATTTGACCTAGCCGTTTTGTCTTTCAAATTGGTTCCACACGCTCTGTTATGTCAAAATTTGAATTCGACACCCTCAAATTACCTAGAAAAACAACATTTGAAATAGAAATTGGTTAATATTAGCTTTTTAGAGCTTTTTTAAAACGCGAAAAAAGGTGCGCTAATGGGCAAGGTGCGCAAAAAAAGGTGCGCAAATGTCTGGGTGCGCAAAAAAAAGGTAGCATTTGCCCCACTCTCTATAGTGTAGATGAATAAAGTGTTTGGCTAAAAAGCTAAAATCTTAGTTTATATATTAACTCTAATATGACAACGCGATGCCAGTAGAGGTTTTATTTTATGGTAAAAGTCTCATTGTGGTGGCTCATATGGTGATGATGACCATGGTGGCGAGGAAATTTCATGCATAGAGGGTCATAATCTGCTAAAAATCATGAAAAAACCAGAATTTCTCAATCACAAAAAATTCGCACCATACCTACTACCTTGAGCCACCAAAAATATTTTTAAAATTTGATCCGAAGTGGATTCCTTATTGAGCACACCCTGTAGCTTATCCATGCCAGTTTTCTGGTCATATCTCAGAAAAAAAACAGCTATCTATCTGGAGGGTGTACCAGACGGCGAGCGATTACACGGCTTTAAAGAAAAGAAGAAGAACATAAAGAACACTATGACAGTTATTTGCTTTATTGATGATACAAAAAGATATTCAGCTTTGAATTTGTACCCGGGGATTTTCGGAGTCGGCAATCGATTAGAGCTATTCATTTTATTGAGTCAAGAGTCTGGAAAGCTTGGCAAGTGAACCGATCCAGACAACTTTTATTCTAAACTGGTGGATATTCAAACTTAGAACATTTCATTCGAATTTTGCTTTAAATTCTTCAAACTTTAAACCTTTTTGAGCATTTTTGAGCAGCTGTTTCCACTAGAGTCCCATTTTAAAGCTAAAACTCTTCTTATCACTATCAAAAATTCGAAATAACCAAGAGAAATCGCTCCTACATGCTTGAAATACTTTAAACTTTCCTCAAAAATGGCATTTTATTTGATTTTTTTAAACACATTTTAAGAAATAAAACTGCAACTGAAGAAGAAAGCTTGATGAAAAGAAGTGTTCATTCAGCTTCCCCAAAAAGCGTGATTCTTTACGATTTTTGGTTCAAAAACATGTGTATGAAATATGAAACCAAGTCAAAAAAAAAACCGGAAAAAAAGGCAAACTAGTTATTTCATTTATACAAGATTTCTCTGAACTAACGTTCGATAAAACGTTCGATAAAACTTCAACTTTCAGATGTTTTCCATTCGATTTTCGTCATTTTTGGCAGTTTCCCTTCTTCAAATTGTCACCTCAGATTCGATTGAACAAGACCATCAAAGGATACGCAAAAGTCCTTTGGGTAACATTGATTAAGCTTTAAAATATCGAAATCTAAAGTAGAATATCAATAGCTTGGGTTACTGTAGCTAGGCTAAGCTAAGCTAACCTAACCTAGCCTAACTGTATTTAATTAAATATTCAGCTGACTACTCGGATGCCATTCAGCCGTTCATCCGTTTCCGACGAGCCGGCGATGAACTTGATGAGGGAAATCTACAGCATTTCTTGCGATTTAGGTAAAAATCTAAAAAATTGATAGACTATAAAATAAGGACACGATAGAATGATTTAATAGCTTTAAAAAAAGGGTCTACAAATAGGGATCTAAGCCAAGACAAGTTCAAAAGCTTTAAACAAAGGAAAAGCTCAGTAGAACGATTAAATAGCCTTAAACAAAGGGTTGCCACTGATGTAAGCCAAGGCAAATCCAAAAGCTAGGCCCAGATCCAGGTTCAATTTCCGACCCAGTTCGAGGTCCAGATCCAGGTCTGACGAACTTTGCGGGCCTTACCTTATTTGCCCTGGTCCTTTAATAGCCATTTTGTAACAAAGTTACTATAGCTAAAGTTGTGCAGTTAATACTAGACGATACTAGACAATGCTAGACTTTTTCTTATTCTTTGAGCTACGTAAAGGCATTCTTTCTGGTGCACTAATCATTCATATCAACGATTTGAGTGCATCAGAAAGGATGTATTTACAAGTTTTTGAGCATAAAGTATAAGCATCCAGAGTTTTCCATGAGTATGATGAACTTTGATGATTCGCCTAGGTTGTAAAAATGAATCCAAATAAAGTACGAGAGTCAAAAAAAGTTCCTTTCTAAAAGCAATACGAAAATTGTGCAGAAAATCGGCTTCATCACCCGATTTCATCGACCATTTCATTCGTTTCCGAAGGAGCGGAGGTGACGAGAATCTTCAGCCATTCCTTCGTTTCAGGTAAAGCATGATAGGTAAAATAAAGATAAAGATGTAAGGTAAATAAAGATTTAGATTGAATTTAGATTATCTCTAAAATAATATCTGTAAAAGAATTGTTTTTTCGCTTAGAAATTTCAATCTCTAGACGTCAATTCGACGATTTGCACCCGTTTTTGCGCTTTCGGCGATCCGTTGATGTCGATCAACAAAAAGGCGTTCAACAACAAGAAATGGTAAATGAAAAAAGTTAGAAAATAACTTGTTAACTAAGTTTTCTTAACTAAATATCTCATTTTTCAGAACCAACAAAAGCTTCGACCCGAGCGTTCGTGGTAAAAAGAAAAAAACAAAGTTATAATTGTTTTTCTCGTTTTTTGATAGAATTTTTCAAATGTGGTGCATTGAAATAAACGTGGTCGATGTTTGATTTGAAGAAAAGGTTTTGAAAGCACACTCAAAAAATACAGAAATCAAAGTGAAACCTAGGATTTGTATGGAAATTATCTTTTCTTCAATCAACAATCCTTTAAACGTCTCACAATCAATGATTCCGGTCGATTCAAAACTTTTTGGTCAATGAGAAATTCAAAAACCGTGAAGATATCCAAAATTGGGTCGCCAAATTTTTCGAGTCACAGCCGGCTGAGTTTTTCAAGAGCGGCATCAATTCTTTGCGCAAAAGATGGCAAGAAGCAATCAATAATAATGGTGAATATATTTTGAATTAAACTGTGTTGTTTCTGTTTTTAAGGTAAATTTTGTCGACTACTAAAACGCTCGTTTATATCCGAACAACCTAATAAAAAGTTAAGTCAAATCATTTCAACTTTCAATGTTAAAAACTAAAAATTATCATTTTGCGGTTGGCGAAGAACCTGTATCCGTTCCGTCTTGACCAACTTCATGACTGCGAGCCACAAGTTGGTGTTCATCCGCTCGCAGAAGTCGATCACTAAAACTCTCGAAAAAAACGCACCAAACTCCACGGGTCCACGGCCAGTCAGCCCTGAACAAAGAATTATAATTAAGAGCACCACAAGCTGGAATACCTTAACCCAGTTGCCGGGATCAGAAAGAGAAAAACAATGCCCATTGATGGATTGGGCAGGCCTTGAGGATAAGGCAAGTTGCTAAAATTACACTTTAAATCGACAAGTAACAGAAAAAACTTACCGCAGCTGCTCAATCGGCTGTATCTGTGGTGAGAGTCCAACGGGCATCCAGAGAATGCGAGACCACAAAGAGGCATCCAGTTGAATGTGTCTTGGAAATAATAAAGACTAACAAATGAAAAAGGCCAAGATTTTTGGGGTTGTTCGACAAAATATGTTTTGAAATTTAGTCAAAACAAAATGGGTCAAGCTATTAATGTGTAACTGGCCAGTTTGATGAGCCGATTCGTGAATTCCCACCGGAAAGCTTTCCTTGCAACGATTCGTTGACTTGTGTAACGTTTATTCCTAGAAAATAAATATTAGTTGATAAATACGCCTTTAATTTTAGGGAGCGAATTCAGGTACAATCGAGTGAATTTAGGTATATTAGAAATAATACTTTCTTTTTTTCAAAATTCTTTCTTTTGACACCAAACTCCTGGTCATAGGTCAAAAATTAAATGTTTGGTGCAACTTTTTCTCCTGGCGTAAGTGAAGGGAGGGCTTATGGGACCTCTAATAGAAGCGCATGCTCTAATAGAATGAACTTTCATAGCAATGTTATTCACAATTATATTCCAATAAAAAAGCCAGAGAAAAATTTATTGTCACCGGGAAGTCAACAAAAACGTTCACATGAGAACAAGGACGTAAGTTAAAGCAGCACTTGATCGAATGGCAGATGAAACGATAAAGAAACCATTGAAAAGGCGAGAAGAGCCGTCGATGAGAAGACGAGTTGTTACTCTTGCTGCTGCATTCGCACGACCTTGGCAGTTGGGCGGTACACGTCGAAGGTGCATTGGAGATCTTCGTTCACCTAAAGAAAACAAATTAAAAACCCATTAAACTTAACAGTCCTTGTGCAATAATTTGAGAAGAAATATGATACCTTCATGGTGGCTGCCGAGTTGTCAAATTGTCCGCAATAGTGGGGTGCAGAGAAGATGGTGACCTAAAGGAAAAAGGTTAAGCAAGCCAAAGATTTCCAGCATTTTGTGCGAGAAAGACAACTTACCATTTTGCGGCTGGCGAAGAACTCGTATCCGTCTTGAACGACTTGATGAGCGCGAGCCACGAGATCGATGTTCATCCGCTCGCAGAAGTCGATCACCACATCTTGTCCAAAAACGTACGACACACCACGGTTATTTACCTCCCAGCCCTAAACAAAGAATTTGTAATCAAGAACGCCACAAGACGGAATACCTTAACCCAGCGGTCGGGATCAGCCCAGAGAAGATCGATGCCTATCGATGGATTGGGTGGGTCTTGAGGACGAGTCAAGTTACTAAAAATTACACTTAAAATTTTTATACTTGCGTAACAGAAAAAACTTACCGTAGCTGCTCGATTTGCTGTATCTGTGGTGAGAGTCCACCGTGCATGCAGAGAATGCGAGTAGCGATGAGACCGCAAAGAGGCATCCAGTTGAATGTGTCTTGGAAACATTGCCACAGACGCTGGCTCTTGTAGCGACGGTTGCACTCCTCGTAGAAGCCGTAGACACGATTGATAGCGGGACACTCGTGATTGCCGCGAAGCATGAAGAAGCTTTCAGGGTACCTAAAATCGTCCATGCTAGATTATAATAACCATAAAGATTAAATCCTCACTTGATTTTGTAGCAAAACATGAGCGAGATGGTTTCGATATTCTGTTGGCCACGATCAACATAGTCGCCCAAAAAGATGAAATTGGCATCAGGTGGAAAAGTGGTCTTTTCGAAGATACGCAAGAGATCGGAATACTAAAAAGCAACAACAATAAACCCAGTACTTTCAAATAAGCATACCTGTCCATGAATATCCCCGCAAACAACAATTGGTGGCCCGACTTCGATGAGTGATGGTTGAGACATGAAGACATTCTTTGCGAAGCAACACAGAGACTTCAGTTCGTCTTCTGAAACCTAAACAAAACAAATAAAATTAAGAATTTCTTTAATTTCGCATTGTTGTTGAGCAGCTCGTCCTACGACTAGAACAAATAAAAGAAGCCAGAAATCCAGCCGCGATAAAACGCCAAAACAAAAATAGTTTTAAAAAAAGCAAAAAGCACTCACGCATGTCGTCAAACGTCCTCCGGCCATTCCAACGTTGAGAAGGCGGCCTATCATGTCATCGATGTTGACTTGTCCCATCTTGAGAAGAGCTCCGATGAAGGTTTGAGTAGATGAGAAGAAAAGGTGCCATCTAAACAGTTGAACTTTCTTTTAAATCCTGGATCAATGCAAATTACGTGTTTTAAGATTGAAATTTTGGAGTTCATATGACTTTCCGGGGTTTCAAGTGGGATTAAAATCGTTTACCGCTCAAAAACGGTACCTAATATTTTTCAAGAGCATGCCCCATGCTAAAAAGTGTTTATTTTGTTTTGAAATTCCCATTGCAAAAGGCTTTTCTTTAGATTGTCTTTTCCCAACCACTCTCTGATAATGGCAATGAAAGTCAAATGTCCAGGAAAAAGTCCACGGGGATCCACTGAACACACAACTCTTGAGCATTGCTTTCAATTGGGTATTTTGATGACTTGAAAAATAACGAAAGGCGAAGGTATTTTAGAATTTCTAAACAGTAAAGATGGAGCGCCTACCCGACAAATGTGCCAACTTTTCCTTGATTAAATTTTAAGTAATATATGCTTTATTCAAGGGCAAATAAAAGCGAATCAGATAATCATAGAAGCACATAACATATCGCCATAATTTTGCACAGAAAAGAAAGAACTCAAAATAGCACACTAAAACTACAGACAGGAAACAGACACAAAAAAATCTAAACACAAGAAAAAGATATTTGTGGCCCTAAAGAGGGCCGTTGGGTTGGGGGTTATCGTTTGCTGAGGTTATTTGCCTCTAATCTGTCTCATCATTCCCGGTCTTGTCGCCAGCTTTGTACTTTGCAAGAAGAACTGGTTGGATATGGGGGACCACGCCTCCTTGTGCGAACGTGACACCCTGCAGCAGTCTATCGAGCTCCTCGTCGTTCTTCACAACCAGCATCAGATGTCGTGGACTAATGGTCACTTTCTTGTTGTCACGAGCTGCATTGCCCGCCAATTCGAGGATTTCCGCGACGAGATACTCCAGCACAGCGGCGAGGTAGACTGGAGCTCCACCACCGATGCGTGCTCCATATTTGCCTTTCTTGAGCATTCGATGAATTCGTCCGACGGGGAAGACGATCCCGGCCCGGTTCGTCCTTGATCGCGCCTGCTTCTTTCCCGATCCGCGCCCAGTCATTTTTGTTGGTTGAGGATTCAGCTGGTCTTTGGTAACGAGGGAAACAAGGATAAAGGAAAAGAGCGCCTTATATAGGGTCTGGTGCGAGGGGGCGGGATTTAGCTTGCCAATGGCAAAGTCTCGCCAGAGGGGGCGGGGTTTTAGCAGGCTGAAGGCTATTTTTGAGCCTTTTAGCGCACGACATCCCGTTTTTCCTGCAGTCTTACACATTTCGTTGCATCATGCACATGGTTTTCTTTCTCTTTCTCAAATTTCATAGACCTCTCACTTAATTTTTTGGTTTAGGAAGAACAAAGATGGATCGACTCTTGCGTCTCGGAGCACATGCTTTACAGGTAAAAGTCTTTCGGTTTTTTTGGATAAACCTTTCGCTTTTCTTGTGCCATTTTTACTTTTTTATTCAGGCAAATGCAACACCGACTGATTCGAATCAAGTGGACACTTCAGAGACTGTCTACATCTCATCACTGGCCTTGTTGAAAATGCTCAAACATGGCAGAGCAGGAGTTCCAATGGAGGTTGGTTAATTAGAATCTCTTTGTTGTTAAGATCATTGATAATGTCTTTAGGTGATGGGTCTAATGCTGGGTGAATTTGTCGACGACTACACTGTAAACGTCATCGATGTTTTTGCAATGCCTCAAAGCGGAACGGTAAAACGAAGTTTCCTAGTTTCTTTTACACAATGATTTAGGGTGTTTCTGTGGAAGCGGTGGATCCTGTTTTTCAAGCCAAAATGTTGGATATGCTAAAACAAACAGGAAGGCCAGAAATGGTTGTTGGGTGGTAAGTGTAGCTTGGAAAAATCTAGCTATAAGGTATGTTTAGGTACCACTCACATCCCGGATTTGGATGTTGGCTTTCAGGAGTTGACGTGAACACGCAACAGTCTTTTGAAGCTTTATCCGACCGCGCCGTAGCTGTTGTTATTGATCCAATTCAATCAGTCAAGGGAAAGGTCGGAGCTAACTTGAACTTTATTTTTACTAAACACCATTTTTTAGGTTATAATCGATGCTTTTCGAACAATCAACCCACAAAATGCGGCTCTCAATCAAGAGGCTCGTCAAACAACGAGCAACATCGGGCATTTGCAGAAACCTAGCATTCAAGTAAGGCCATTTGCAGAAAAATTCTCCCATTTTACTCTTTCAGGCGCTTATCCACGGATTGAATCGCCACTATTATTCCATTCCAATTGCTTATCGACCACATGAACGAGAGCAGAAGGTTTTTTAAAAGTTCAAATGAAATTACCTTCCTTTTTTAGATGCTCCTCAATTTGCACAAAAAGTCTTGGAAGGATGCGATCAATGTAGTCAACTATACGCAGCATGGCGGACAAAATGAAGAAGCGATGAAGAGCATGCTGAAATTGGCCAAAGCATACAAAAAAGTGAGTTGCTGTTAGAATTAAAAGCTAAACTTTATTATTAGATTGTTTTCTTATCAAAATGACCATTTTTATGATTCCAGCTATATTTCGATTTTAGTCCCTCGAAGAAGAGGAGAAAATGTCGGAACGTGAGCTTGAGATCAAGAATGTCGGAAAAATGGATCCCAAGCGTCATTTGGGAGAATTGGTAAAAACATTGAGCTTCTTGTTTGCTTCATTTTGATTTTTAGGTGAATCAACTTATGGCTGACAACCTCGTGCAAGGCCTTTGCGGAATCATCGATGCTGAAAGTCTCAAGTAAAATCCGATTGTCATATTCATTTCTTCTTGTTCTTGTTTTCGTATTTATACCTTAAATAAATCTTGCTTATCCTTTTTGTTACGGTTGCTTTGATGTTTGATTCTGTGATAAATTTTAAAGATGAGAATAAAAATTTTTGATTAATAGTTACGACATCTAAAGCCTATGTGATTACATCATGCAAAAATATTTTTGAGTTTTGCGGCAGCAAAACCTTGAAGTGGCAATTTTATAATTTCAGATAAAAATTGTAACTTGATCAAGGTTAGAAAGAAAATGCGATTTTAGTGTTGATGAGTTCGTCAAGATCGTTTCTCCAGGCGTTTCGTCCTTTTTGCAACAATCTATCGCTTCGCGGATACAAAGCGGCCGTTGTTACAGAAATTGGCAAGCCTCTAGAAGTTAGGTGAGACGAGATATATTGGTGCTTTTTTCATCCATGCCATTTTAGAGATCTTCCTTCAAAGGAGCCAGGCCCCAATGAGCTTGTCGTTGAAGTAGAAAGCTGTGGTTTCAACTATGGAGATTGGAAAATGATTAAAGGAATGTATCATTTGAAGCCAAAGAGACCATTTGTACCAGGTTTGCATCTCAACAAATTTTTTAATTTTTTTGTGTAGGCTTTGAGCTGGCTGGCAATGTTAAAAAAGTCGGTGAAAAGGTGCAAAAATGGAAAGCCGGTGACCGGGTTTTGGTGTTACGGTAATTTTTCACACGTAAATAGTAAATGTGAAAGATCTAAAATGCCATCAGGGCATAATTGACTTTTTGTATTTAGGAGACATGGGACGGGCGGTTTTGCCGAAGAATGCATTGTTAAGGAACACGATTTGATTTACAAGTAAATTTGCAGGAATTATCAAGTTATCAAATCAAATTTTATTTTAGCTTACCGTTTTCTATCAATTACGAGACAGCGGCAGCTGTTGCAGTCACCTATGGAACAGCCTATGTTTCTTTGGCAAATATGGCTCGTGAAAGACAGGGGTGAATTTTTTATGCGTTATAGAAGTAAAGTTTATATTTGATTCGGTAGATCGCTTCCCTCAAAAGATTCCAAAAGCAGGTAAGACGTGTTGTAGATTAAGAAGTTGTTTTGTCTGTTACGCCTCTAACGCTTTCTAAAGCAAGACATTCTACTCTTTAATGAGGGAGTATTGATGGACTTAAAATGTGTACTTCAGGAGTTCTGTTCTGGTCCTCTCCGCTCGTGGTACTATGGGATTTGCTGCAATTGATCTAGCTCAAAACGTTTTTGCTGCTCAAGTAATATTTTTTCTTTAAGATATAAAAAGATAGTTCAGGTCTTTGCCGCTTCGGATGACGAAGAGAAATTAGAAAAACTTCGGACCACTGGAGTGCAGCGAACGATCAACTGGGAGAAAGAAGATTTGGTTAAGGTAAACATTGTTCTGATTCAAATAGCTTTTAATATTTTGGAAGCTTATGGTTTTAAAAAGTGTTTATTGTGAGCTGTTATAGAATACCGTTGTTCAGGTGATTCGCAAAGATACTTTCAATGAAGGTGTAGACGTGGTTGTCGATACTGTTGGTGGAAAAGTCTTTCACACAGCTTTGGAATCGTAAGTGTTTGACTAATCTGTTGTTATATTTAAAAATCTAGGCTGAAGAAAGGTGGTCATTTGGTCTCGCTCTCGTTTGCATCTGGCGAAATTCCTTCAGTCTCATTGTTAGATCTACATCGGTTACAAGCAACTGTAACAGGTAAATAAAGATTATTACTGATGCTGGAATGCTTCGTTTGCAGGTGTGTGGTTGGGTGGACGAACGGCTTCTGAAATTGATGCGATAATGTCGACGATTATTGGACTTTTTGATGAAGGCTACTTGAGTGCTCGAATAGAAGCTAAATATGGTCTCGATCAGGTTCGTATTAAATTATGGCAGCAAAGTTTCCTTTATAGGTGAATCAACTTGTGAACGACATCGAAACAAACAAAATTTTTGGCAAAGTGATTGTCAATCCAAAAGGAGTCATTTAGAAATCTTTGCTCTAATCATGTTCATTGGTATATAAATATTTTATATGTTATTGCTATCATTTTTTTGTTTGTATATATTTTAGTTGTTGCAGGTTAGTCGAATAAAAGTTTTGAATTCATTTGCAATCTCAAATAAAGCGTTACTTTGCTTAGAATTTCTCAAATTTAGCTCAATTCGTCGCAAGCGTACTTATGAAATGTAAGATGAAGCGTTACTTTGCTTAAAATGTTTTAAATTAATTCAATTAAGTCACGTATTGCAAACGTTTTAGATGTTAAGGAGGTTATGCACGAAAACAATATGCACAAGGCGATTGTGGGAGCCTGGCACCTCGTCTCTAGAGGTGCATTTAAAGAAATGAATAAGAAATTAAATCTGAAAATTTAGTTTTACGTTTTGACGGCAAAACCAAATCAACTCCAAGTCAGATGCCATTCAAGATTTGTGATTTCCATGGAGAAAGCTTTGAATCATCTTGAGAATATCGTTTACGGTATGTTTCCTACTTGAATTCGCTAATTTGTAAAGCTTCTTTAACTTATATATTTTTAGCTAGACAAGCTCGAAATGGAGACCGATTAAAAAACGCACAACGGTTACGAAGTCAGAAACGAGACGAGCAAAACGAAAAAACGACTTCTGAATCCGAAGAATCGAGCGATAATAAAGACAAGGAGGAGAACGAGCAAGAGAAAAAAGCCGAGGAAATGGCGAGGAAAATATCAAGGGTAAGCGCTAGTTGACTCACTACAAGTCGGCAAGGCATAACATACAAAAATGTTAAAATTGTTTTTAGTTATTTGCGGTCGCCCTTTTCTGTGCGGGCATTCTCTACATGATCAACTCATCGGGTGATATTGGGAACAGTGTCGATGAAATTTCGTGGACCACATTCACCGAGCAGATGTTACCAACAAAAGCGGTAAAATATTTAAATTTGGTTTTTTATTTGATTGCATTTAGATACGAGAGATTGTCGTTTTCAACGAGAAAGAAATAGCTATTCTGCACATTTGGAGCGATGCTCGAGGACTGGATGGAGAAAAGGTTTACTTAAAACGGCTATGATTATTCGATTTCTTACAGTTGAAACCAGTCTACAAACTTCGGGTTCCCTCGATAAGTCGGCTTGAATCAGAGGTTAAAATCTCTTATTTATTCATCCAAGTTTTGCTTTAGCTTCGAGCCGCTGAAGCCGCTCTAAACATGCCGCCCGAATATTGGATTCCCGTCAAATATAAACGGCTTGATGAGATGTGAGAGATCTTGTTTTGTAGTTAATTTAGTATTTTCAATTTAGAAGTTCAACCTTAAATCTGATATTTCTTGGTCTGCTTTTTGCTACCGGATATTATATCTTCAAGAAGGCCAAATTTTCAATTAATATGACGGACATGATGGTACTTTTTTCTCTTCTATTTGATTCATTTATTAATTTCAGGGCCAAATGACGAAACAAAAATTAAACATCATCGATCCCCACTCTCCAGATGGCAAGAAAGCTCTAAAGATAAAATTCAAAGTAAGGTTTAAATATATTCTAAAAAAATTTAACAAAACTTTCAGGATGTGGCAGGGTGTCATGAAGCCAAAGTTGAAATCAAAGAATTTGTCGACTACTTGAAGAACTCGAGCAAGTATACGGTAATCGCTTTTGTTAGATCTTTTAAAGTTATTTCTAGAAATTGGGAGCCAAACTACCAAAAGGAGCTTTATTGACTGGGCCACCGGGGTGCGGGAAAACGCTGCTAGCACGAGCTTTGGCCGCTGAAAGCACGGTTCCCTTCATCTCGATGAATGGAACGGAGTTTGTAGAAATGATTGGAGGTAAAAATATTTTACAAGTTTATTGGAGATTGTTAACATCAAAGGATCATTTTATTTGTTTGTTTTAGGTCTTGGTGCATCGAGAATACGAGGATTGTTTAAAGAAGCAAAACAACGTGCACCGTGTATCATCTATATTGACGAAATCGATGCAATTGGGCGGAAACGGAGCGAAGCTGGAGGGAAAAACGGTAATATTAGCATAGAGATAATTAGTTAGTAGGGATAGTTAGCGATAGTTGTTTTTCAGCCCAATCATTTTTAGGGTTTGCCGGTTCTTCCGAAGAGGAGCAGACATTAAACCAACTTCTCGTAGAAATGGATGGAATGGATTCAGCCAAAGGAGTTGTCGTCTTGGCTTCAACGAATAGACCTGATGTTCTTGATAAGGTGAAACAGATCAATTTCATGTAATTGATAAAAATTTAGGCTTTATTGAGAAGAGGTCGTTTTGATCGCCATGTCTCCATTGATCTCCCTACTGTTGCTGAACGGAAAGAGATGTTCGAGCTCTATCTCAAGTTAGAATATGCATATCTTATTCAAAATTTCTTTTGTAGGAAAATCAAGACCGATTTCGCCTCGACTAAGTACTCGGAACGACTTGCGCAAATGACACCTGGATTTTCTGGTTTGGTGTTATGCTTTTATAACATACGGTCATGTGCAAAAGTCCTTTAACACTCAATTTTCTAAAAAGTTTCATCAATTTTCTTTGATAAAGTTCATGGCACTCTTTAAGCCATTGATCATTGATCTTTTAGTTACACAAATATATGTACAATTTATTTATTCAAACGTTATCGCTATGCACAACACTTATTCATCGAGAAAAACCATAATTGTCAAAACACCCCTGAAAATCGTGGTGCAAAAGTCTTTTAACACAAGATGAAATTAAGCTATAATCAATGTTTTCGCGGTCCTCCTTTGTAAAAGTACTTCTTTAATACGAGTAGGCATCGATGTAATTAATTCATCAAAAAATCCAGGTCCAATCCTCCTAAAAAATTTTACTGATATATGATTGATCCCAAACCATCCCGACCAATGTGCTTTTTCTTCATTCGAGAGAGTCACAACGCGACCCATTAAAAGTTTGGTTTTGTGTACTGACGAATTATCTTTAATCAACGAAAATCACTCGGGCCCAATCATCGACTGTTCAGCTTGAATATGTTCGAGCAAATTGAAGATGTTGCCTCCTGTGTTTGGCTGTCATTATAGGCTTGAGGGCAGGCTAGTATACAATGCTGCTTGAAGTAAGCGTCGATGCAAGGTCCAGCAGGAGATATTCTTGTTTGAAGTTTGCTTGAAAAGAATGACTCCATCGTTCAACGTCAAATTCAGATCCTTTTTGAAAGCTTTTGTAAGGAATCGGTCTTCATTCTTTGTTGTAATCCTCGGTCGGCCCTTTTTCCTACATCTGTGCACACTTCCAGACGCATTCATTTTTGCCGTAACAAGAGAAAATGTTGTGGGCGTACATCCTAAGAGGCGAGCAACGTCTTGTTGTGGCATTCCTTGCTTCCTTGCCTTGACGACCATTTCTTTATCCAGAGTTGACAAATACGCTCTTGGCATCTAAAAAAATAAATTAGTACCAGTAAATATGAAGCGAACAAAAATAATGAAAACTTTTGCAAGTGTTAAAAGACTTTTGCACCACGATTTGCAGGGATGACAATTATATTTTTTCTCGATGAATAAGTGTTGTACAGCGACAACGTTTGTGTAAGTAAATTGCACATATATTTGTGTAACTAAAACTATTAATAGCTTAAAGAGCGCCATGAACTTTGTCAAAAAATCGATGAAACTTTTTAGAAAATGTGTATTAAAAGACTTTTGCACATGACTGTAGTTAAATGTTTAGGAGCCGATATTCGAAATGCTGTCAATGAGGCAGCAATTAAGGCCGCCACCGATAATTTGTTGCAGGTGTCCGTCAAAGAAATGGAGTATGCAATGGACAAGATTATTGCAGGTAAAAGCTTTTACTTCTTAATTTTCAGTATTTTAAACTGGAGTTTTAAAACCTAAATTTTAGGGCCTGCAAAACGCTCTCGTACACTGGTAAAAGAAGAGCGAGCAACAGTTGCATATCATGAGGCTGGACATGCTCTTGTCGGATGGATGCTTGAACACACGGATGCTCTTCTCAAGGTATTGCTTTTGATCAAATCAAACTATTCAGTTTATCTAGGTTACGATTATTCCGCGAACATCAGCTGCCCTTGGCTTTGCTCAATATTGCCCAAGGGACAAAAAGCTGTTTACAAAAGAAGAGGTAATCTATTTAAAAGAAACTTTCAAATAAACCAACTTTAGCTTTTTGAGAGAATGTGCATGATGCTAGGCGGACGAGCTGCCGAGAATCTCAAGTTCGGTCGAATAACAACAGGAGCTCAAAATGATCTTGAAAAGGTAAAGAGCAGTAGTTTTTTAATTTGCAGTTTTTTAGGTGACGAAAAGCGCAATGGCTCAAGTAAAGAATTATGGATTTTCGCCGATCATTGGGCCACTTTCGTTTGCGGTGCAAGATGAGAGAGCCGCCTCGTTTTATGAAAAACCCTACAGTCAGAAATTACAGGCGACTATTGATCAGGTTAGTGACTTTGAATGAAATTAAACAATAGAGATATTTTGATCTTCGTTAATACACCCACAGATATTTTAGAATTTGGAAATGATCCTATATTCTAGTTCTTTTTTTCTAGGAAGCATCATTGCTTGTTGGACAAGCGTATCGAGCAACTGAAGAGCTTATTCAGAAGAACATTGACAAACTGGAATTGGTTCGGTTTTCTTTTGCATCGAATGTAAATTAAATTTTCAGATTGCACAAAGTCTACTAAAACATGAGGTTCTTTCGTATGAAGATGTGAAGAAGTTGATTGGACCCCCGCCGTTCGGAGAAAAACAGGTTGGCATTATTGTCATTGCAACAATTTTGTGGACTCTCAGGTGGTCGATCTCGTCGAGAACAGTCTACCGAAAGACGGTGAATGATCGTAGTATCGTAATCGTATAGTCAATAGGTATTTTTGTTGGTTTTCCTTTTTGGTTTTTTACCTAATTTTTATTGTAAATATTTATTTTGCAGATAAATGATTAGTTATGACACAAGCAATGAAAAGTGAGCAGTAATTTGAGCAATTGGCGGAGGGGAGCTGGCAATTACGCCCACATTTGGTTGAGCACAAGGAAATAGTGTTCGGTGGGCGGAACAATCCGTCCACCAATCACCGGATGAACAGAAGTGGAGAACTCGGCTTCACGACTGAAAGTGAAAAATGGTTGTTTAGCTAATAGACTTATCTATGATTTAGACGTTTGCTGCAATTCTTGATGATTGTAAGATCCTATGGTTCGGGGCAAAACTGCGTTTAGCTACAAACCTTCTCTTCATCTTCGCAATGGCGACCACGTAGAAGAGTGGGCAAAGGAGGGTGTAATAGGGATAGAACTGAAATAAGATTTTTTTTAGGTTTGTATTTGGCTTTTTTAGCTAGATTTATCATTTCCGCATTGCGATCTTGTTTATCTTACTTACATTTTCTAAAAATCTTACATTTATCAATCCTTGTGCTGTTTTTCGTGTCACATAGTCCAAATCGGGGAACCAACTGCGGATGGCAATCGAGAGAAGATTGTAGAGAATGACGGTGGTTGCGTGAAAGAGGATCACCGGTGAAAGGGCACACAGGGATAACTGAAGATTCGAACTTGCATATCAAACGTCATTTTACCTGTGAATATCGCAGCTGATAGGATAACTCGAGGCTCTTTTTCGTGGCTGAGCTGTAAAATGGAATTTCGCGTTTTAGCCATAGTATTTCTCATTCATACACGGGGCTTACGCTAGGTTTTCTTGGGTGTATTTTTTAGGAAAATATTGAACTAGTTTCCAAAAACATGTCGTCTTTTGAAAACTACCGTAATCCTGTCTCTACTTTTACCCTATAAATTTCGAATGCTTCGAGGGTTCACAGAGGATTGGATTGGATTGGATAAACGTGGATCGATTTGAATCAAGAATAAAGAAATCAAGGTTACGGTAGAAAAGTTTTAAAAGTTGACACTTTAGAAAACGCCTTATGAAAGACAAAAATAACAATTTCTACCGTCTTCTGATTTGTCGTGAGCAGAAATGAAGCAAAGAGAGATCCCCCGAAAACGGTGATCACATCGACCGAGATCCCCAGAAATGAGAGTGCGTTCGCGATTGGGATCATCGACTGAAATGAGCTGATTACGGAGTTTCTTACTGGGAAAATCTCTTGAGATGAGCAAGCATATTTAAGCAAGCAAGCAAATCTTACACCCACCGGCGTGTCTTCCGTACAATTAAGCACATAGACAAAGGTGTCCTCTTGGGAAAAAATCGAGACGAAAACGATGGCGATGATGACAATCATCTATAGGATGAGTTTAAAAGATAAGACTCGAATTGCTAGCTTAAATTTAGAAATATAAAATTTTCAGCTGCGCAGAGAAATGGTTAAGAGTTTCGGGTACTCTTGTGCCCTTTTCGACCATCTTTTGCATTTATTGGGCAATAGTAACAAGTAGTGGATTTCGTCTAGCGCCTGCAAAGAACTGCTTTTCAGTATAACGCACAAGAATGGACTGGGAATTCCGGCTATGAATCGGATCGTAGGCCGTAGTTATGCAATAGACGTTGACCTTTTGTAGAAAACGAGTTAGTCCCACGTTTTAGCAAACAGCTCTTGTTTTCTATTAGAAATAAAAATTGTATCCAGGCTTTAGAAAAAAGGGCTTTTTGCTAATGTGGAACTCGTTTTCTATTGTGCAATTTTGGCTCAAATAAAAGTACAGTCGACGCCAATTTGCTTGTATCTCTCCGATCCATTTGCCAAATTTAAGTTTTTCTTGTTTTTTTTTTTCAAAAACTCAAGACTTTTCAATATTCCAAGAATTTATTGAAACTAAATTGACTGCTGTAAATCTGTAGAGACGAAAAGAGAACTGTAGAAAGCCCGGTGAAAAGATGTACCGGATTGTACTGGATTTAGGCCCAGATCAAGCCCAAATAATTTGGCAAGTGAATTGGAAAACTTGAGCAAAAAATCCTACCTTGCTGTCAGTTTACATCAATAGCAACTAAGCACTTGATTTTGATCTAAAAAAAACGAAAAACCCTTAATTAGTTAACCTAATCCACGGGAACTATAAAGGAGCCATCAAGGAATTAAATAGGAACTATAAAGGAACTAAATAGGAACCATCAAGGAATTAAACAGGAACTATAAAGGAGCTAAATAGGAACCATCAAGGAACTAAATAGGAACTATCAAGGAATTAAACAGGAATTATAAAGGAACTAAATAGGAAATATACAGGAATTTCATGAAATCACCGTAATGCATTCCGAGTTTCCCTCCGCTAAACCAAAGACTTTTGTACTTTTTCTTTTCAAAGCAAATTCCCTAAATGAAATCAGTTTTTTTTTTCTTGCACCTGTATTCCGATGAAAATTTTCACAGCATTTTCTTGCAATGGCGCCACTTTTCCTTTGGTTTTAGGTGGATTTTTGATGTAAAATATGACGATCGCTCGCTCGACCACGACAAAGAGGAAAGCCAGTGAGAGGGAAAATGAGAGACACATCTAAAAACAAAGAAAAATGAAACTTTTTAGGCTGTATGTAGCAAAGCTCTAACTCTAATAATTTGGGAATTCTCATCATCGATTTTCTTTCAAAGTTTTTCTACTTTTAACCACAAGACTGAGAAAGGATGAGATTGATTTGAATTCTTGATTTTATCAATAATATTAGATTGATTGATTTGAATTCTTGATTTTATCAATAATATTACAAGTCGAGAACCGCAGAGCTTTTCAGAATCTCCCTTTGTCTTTTCTCCTGTCTCCCAAACGTCTTTTCCCTTTGATCTAATATAGATAAGTTCAGTTTAGTCCTTAATAAATCGTTCTTTTAAAAAAACTAAAATAGATTGGATATAGTTTCTAATAAAAGTTGCTTCTAAAGTTAAGATTGTGCTTACATGTACGATTTTGAAAGGCAAACACCCGGGTGAAGTGAACACGAATTCACAGGGATCTGTCGACTCGAAAAGACGACGTAAAATAAACGGATAACACTGAAATTAACACATAGTTATTAAGTGAGAAAAAGAACTAAGAACAACTCACATTGCAAGCAATATTGTTGAACGAGTAGAGCAACAAAATGAACACTTTAAAGATGATTAGACCCTGGAAAGTTTTCAGTCTTCAGTTTCTAACAATCCAAAAACAAAAACCAAGCCGATTCAAGTTTATTTGCGCCTAAATTCCATTCAATTTCCAAATAAACCATTCATTTTCTTGTAGTAACTGTTGAAATAAAGACTTAAGAAATAATAGAGCTTGACTGGATTTTTGATGAAAACCATTTTGATGAAAACCAGGCGACACGACACACGAGTCGGATTCGCCTCATTTACTCAGAGTTGGTTCTGATTTTCTTGAACTGGATTATCCAATTAACTTTTATTTAGTATCATTTGAAAGCCTGAAATGTCCTCTGTACAATGATATAAAAAGTTAGCAAAAATATTCTCTCTGGACAAATTTATAGGCCCTCGAAGCGTGACGATCCGTTCAAAATCCCCGGGAGCTATGGAAGAGTTGAAATTTCTAATTCTTTGAAAAAGTTTCAGAATTTTGGAAGATCTTTCATTCCCATGAAAACCAGGCGAAACGACAATCGGATAGACAGAAGGAATGTTTTTAGAAATGTTTTTGGAAACGTTTTTAGAAATGAAGGGATCTCTTTAGAAATTTTGAGCACATCCGCTAATTTTCAAAAGCACTTACATTTCTCTGATCGTGAATCCAAAAGCTTCGTCTTAAAATATAATAAATAATGATGAAAAGCGATGAAATAGCGACAAAAGATTTCACCTAAATCAAGCAGAAAATAACATAGAAATTTCAACTCTTCCATAGCTCCCGGGGATTTTGAACGGATCGTCACGCTTCGAGGGCCTATAAATTTGTCCAGAGAGAAGATTTTTGTTAACTTTTTATACCATTGTATAGAGGACATTTCAGGCTTTCAAATGATACCAAATAGAGTTTGACTGGATTTTTCATTCCGATGAAAACCAGGCGACACGACACACGAGTCGGATAGGCCTTATTTACTCAGAGTTGGCTCTGATTTTCTTGAACTGGATTATCCAATTAACTTTTATTTGGTATCATTTGAAAGCCTAAAATGTCCTCTGTATGATGATATAAAAAGTTAGCAAAAATCTTCTCTCTGGACAAAGTTATAGGCCTTCAAAGCGTGACGATCCGTTCAGAATCCCAGGGAACTATGGAAGAGTTGAATATTCTAATTCTTTGAAAAAGTTGCAGAATTTTGGAGAGAACTTTTAAATTTGAATACTTAACGATTAGATTTATTGATGGTTTTTCTAAAAACTATGCTTTTTCTCATAATTTGTATCACTTACCGCATTCTGAATGGAGTAAACGGTGAAAAAGGCCAAATGGGCGGCCGTTTCGCAATAAAATGTGATATTTGTGTCCATTTTGACTGAATAGTCAAACTGAATAGCTTTTAAATTTCTAAAAGCTAAAAGCTGAAAGCTAAAAGCTAAAAGCTATAAAGCAAAAAAAAAATTCAAAATTTCAACAAATTTGCAAAGTTTTGGAGCCAAAAAAAAAACCTTGCCGATCTTTAAAACCTTGCCGATTTTCACATTTTCACAAGAGAATTACTCGAAGAGAAATTCTCGTTTAATTAGTGGAAAAGATCAAAAATGAAAATAGAAAGCATAGAAAAAAAAAAGAGAGAAAATGTAAAAAGTGTTTACAAATTGCATTCTCCCCAAATTCTAGTTGACTAATTGCTCTAAACGATCACCAAAACTTACTTAAAAAAACTTGATGACAAAAATTGAAGACAATTTTCGACTTTTCCTGAATTGTTTACATTGTAGACTTGTCTCTGGACAAAGTTATAGGCCCTC